AGCCCTAAGCCCTGAACCCTAAAAGTCCTAAAAGCCCTAAACCCTAAACCTTAAACCCTAAAGACCCTAAGCCCTAAAAGCCCTGAAAGCCCTAAGCCCTAAACCCTAAAAGCCCTAAACCCTAAAACTTAAGCCCTAAGCCCTAAACATTAAACCCTAAAAGCCCTAAGCCCTAAAAGCCCTGAAAGCCCTAAGCCCTAAACCTTAAACCCTAGAAGCCCTAAGCCCTAAACCAGCCTTAAACCCTGGAAGCCCTAAGCCCTAAACCCTAAAAGCCCTAAACCAGCCTTAAACCCTGGAAGCCCTAAGCCCTTAACCCTAAAAGCCCTAAACCAGCCTTAAACCCTGGAAGCCCTAAGCCCTAAACCCTAAATCTCAAATCCTAAAGGCCCTAAGCCCTAAACCCTAAAAGCCCCAAACCCTAAGCCCTAACCCCAAAAGCCCTAAAAAGCCCTAAAAGCCCTAAGCCCTAACCCCAAAAGCCCTAAAAGCCCTAAACCTTTCACCGGTATGGGAGCCTCTGGAACCTCGCCAGCACCAAGGAGATGGTGCACGCCGAAGCGAATCTCAATTCCTCGGCCGCCCCAGGCACCTGATTTATAGAGTTTAGGGGTTTTAGGAGTTTAGCGGTTTTTAAGGGTTTAGGGTCTTTAGGGGTTTAGGGTTTAGGGTTTTAGGGTTTAGGAGCTCAGGGTTTAGAGTTTAGGAGTTTGGGGTTTAAGAACGGAGCTGTGTAGGATTCTCACCCAAAGGGACCATGATCTTGACAGTTGCCCAGATGGCTTACTAGAAGAGTATCTAGAAAGCAACTGTGGGTTGCCAGAAGGATATAATTTAGGGTTTAGGGTTTAGAATATTCATGGTTCCAGCACTTTACTGGATCTTGGGTTTAGGTCTGTGTATGGCTTGTGCTGTTTGCTTGCCACTCGCTCTCTGCAGAACCATTTGAGGACACGAACAGCTAGAACGGCTTTCGGTTAATGCTCTCTCTCCGTGCCAGCGTCGACATCAACCCCTTCAACATTATCTCATCTCCGCAGTCAGGATTGCGCACGACTTGAGCTTTTCAAAAAAACAGTTTCAGGCCTCCTAGTTCACGAAGCCCAAAACTGAGACAGAGACTGATAGAGCCTGCTATTGCCTGGCTAGTCTGTTGGGCAAGTGCCCGGGCATTCGCGTTCCTCTGCTTTGCAGCCACAGGTCACCGGACATTGAACGCGAAGAGACACGACCGGATCTCCATCCGTCCGCGGGAAGCATAAGTCGCCACCTGCTAGTTGTTTCACTTCTTCGGAATCCAAGAAAGCACAGCCCGTAAGCCCACGTGGATGTGGGATACCAGGGCCTAGGATAAAGTTTGCAGCTGCCATGGCACGATGCCAGCCACCACTTCTGTAGAACTCCCCGGCTTCCTTCAGCGACTCCGTTTTGTTCGGGCCCGGCAGAAGGTTGTAATAGCTGTTATTCAAATTCATCATGTACTCGTTCGTGCTGGCATTCCCGATCTCTTCATTCCCGAGCTTCACCTGATAGAGGCCATGAAAATAGCGCTTCATATAGCTGCTCGAAGCCATTTGCGCTGGAGTCATGTCCGTACAAGGCGCATATTTTAGCTTTATGGAACTCGCCCTCTGTGGCATGCACATCTTAGGACAGCCAAAATAAACAGTCGCGAATGCCGCAGCTGCGGAAGTGATAGGGTCATCACAACCACAAGATTGCGGGCAGAGAGACCGCAGAGGGTTCATGTTCATGCCTGCGCACAGTTCCGGCTTCTCTGCCAGTTCCGCACAGCTGCTCACAGTGTTGTTCGTCATGTCCCTCAAGCGATCCCCGACAAGACCAGCCGGAAATGCGTCATCTGCGCATGGGAGACGCGCCGCCGCTTTCTCGACATCACTTTTATCCAACATCAAAAGCTGGAAGAGCAACTTCATGTTGGCCTCCTCGCTATCGTCGGCTGTGTGAAGGATAGCTGGTTCCCCGTCCTTCTGGAACTTTTCAATCGCTTGTTGCTCGTACCAGTCTGGAATGGAAAACAAATCCAAATCTGCCAGTCTCAGCACACTTTTCTGGTTGGCAGTCAAGGGAACGCTCTCCGAGAATGTAGTTGTAGCCTCGACGAGGCCAGTCGCTGCGTTGACGGTGTAGATGAAGTCTTGCCTACCACTGCAGAGAATGTTGTGCGCCAGCTGCACCCGGTCGTACAGTGGCTGGAGCAAACACATCCACGCCAATGAGAGACCCACAAGGAGAAGGGCAAGTTTCAGCAGATTCTTCCCCCGCTCCTGGAAGCCCCCGCGCAAGCGGCCTATACCTGGGACATCCAAGCGAGCGATGGGCAGTGTCCCCAGGGCGTCCAGCAGGAACCGCGCCCTTCTTGGCATAAAGGCCGACTCCACCAACTCATCTAGGTCCAGGATGAAGGCCAGGGCCACCGCATTGAGGATCAAGTCTGAAAGGCTCAGGGTGTTCGCAAGGTATTTTGTGCCTGTGAGCGCGAGGGACACAGCCACCACCAGGCGAGGCACCGCGACGAAGATGAAGAGCATGAACCTTAAGGAGGAAATGAACCCTAAAAGGTTTTAGGGTTCATATACCATATAGGGATTCATAGTATCAGGGTTTAGGGCCCCTACTTTTAAGGGCCATTTCGTCCCTAAGGAACTTCCGAAATGTTGACATCTGCGTGATGACCACGCTCCCGCTGTCGCCGTCCTCGCCGGGTGCTATCACGGTGATCTCGCCTGATGGGTATCTGTGGATGGCGCTGACGAAGCCTGTGATGTTGAACAACTCCCGAAGTGTCGTGGAAAGCCAGCAGCCGATAGCCAGCAGCGCCAAGATAGGCCCGATGGAGATGTAGTCATTCAGATCCGCGATCACACCTGTCTGCATGTTCGCCCACTGAAGGGAATCATCCTCGCTGCAGACTTGCCTTGCCATGGAACGACCTCCACTGAGATCGGCATATTTGACATCGTGGGCCACGTTCGTTCGGAATCGGAGGAGCTCTGATAGCTGATCTGGCTGTAGGATATCCTCCAGCATGCGGTGACAGACCACCACGACGAAGCCGATCTGAGTGATCATGTTCAGCAGCAGCAGAAGCCCAGCCAGCACGGAGTCACACTTGCTCAAAGTTGGTAGTCCGATAAACAGACAGGCATCCCAAACAGAGTGCTGAAGCTCGTAGCAGGGCCCTTTGGTCGTAATTCCATCGCGTATCTCATCTCCTTCTGATGTGAAGAGAGCCTCCTCGAAGCGTTCCTGGGTTCTTGCTGAGGGATTTAACTTAAGTTACCAAAATAGAAATCTATATAGTAAATAATGGGTTTTCCTTATTATTATATGGTGATTTAAACTAAATCATTTAACAAGAGCCGAGGTTCCGACTGCGTCTGGATCAGCTCACTGGAGGAGACGCTGTAGCCATCCTCCAGGTTCTTTTGAAGGCTCTGGAGGCGTCGGAGTGGGTCGTCTTCACCGCCGCCCTTCGCCGGCGCAATGGATCTCAACGCCTCCTCCACCTGGGGGGTTTCCGAAAATAGGGGACACTAACATAGTACCTTAAAATAGTAGGATCCCTAAGCTATTATAAGGACCCCAAAAGAAGGTATATTTTTAACATTATAGGACCTTAAAATAGTAGGATCCCTAAGCTATTATAAGGACCCCAAAGAAGGTATATTTTTAACATTATAGGACCTTAAAATAGTAGGATCCCTAAGCTGTTATAAGGACCCCAAAAGAAGGTATATTTTTAACATTATAGGACCTTAAAATAGTAGGATCCCTAAGCTATGATAAGGACCCCAAAAGAAGGTACCCCCGAATTTTCGGAAACTCCCACCTGACCCAGGCGGGCCTCCAACTGCTGAAGCCGCAGCTCGGTGGCAAACGCCGACATGGCTTCCACAGGATTTGGGCCTCCCAGTGGCCTCTTTGGGGCCCTCAAAAAGCAGATGTTTAAGTCAATCTATACCGTGAAGAAATGAGGGCACCAATATATATATATATACATACATACATACACTTGCCTAAGGTTTTATGGAAGCTTGGCAAAGGGCACCGTCAACGAAGCCCGAGCCGGAAACCTGCATCTTGGAAGATCTCAAAGCGTGGAAACTCTCAAAAGTCCCGTGCAGTAAACCCTAAACCCTCGTCTGCAGACGATTTCTTGAGCCGCGGGGCAGCGCCGGGGCGCACCAGGTCTTGCTTATGTCTGGCCACAAGCAATGGAACAGAGGGTGTATCTCCGTATGATCCTAAAAACAGCCACTAGGCTGTCGGATCTAGAAGTCCACAAGCAGTTGCAAGAAGGTCCCACCTTTATAATCACACTCAAAGAAGCCATGATAATGGCCCTTGCCGGAACCCCTTATGATACCCCCTAAACCCCTAAGCCCTAAACCCTCAACCCTATCAGGCCTTCTGGCTTGCGAACGAAGGCCATGGGTCCACCCTGCAGGCAGCTTCTGTCGAACCCTAGGACGGCTGGACTAAACAGTTTAGTTATATACCCATAGGCTAGTCAGTAGTTCCTTCTTGTGGCTGGTATTTAGGATCCTATAAAAGGAACTACTAAGGAGCCTGTGGGTATCGAAACACCGAATATATGACCCGTACTGCGGTTGCACAACTACTGTCTAGCAACGCTGTTGCGAGCAGGGGTCATCACGGCCATTATTGTCATCAGTTGCCCCGGGTGCCAAAGCCTACGCAGAAAGGGCTGTTCTTGCTGATGTATTGAAATTCGACTGGCTATCGTTTGCCACTAGACGTTCTAGACAGGACTAAACCTTTGCATTCTCACTCTATCGCGAATGAATACTGCTCATCCCTCTTGCAGCGATTTTGGGATAACCTGGATGGGATGTTGGAGATGCCATGGACAACTATCCCAGCCTCTGACACCTCACAGTTGTGGACTTGACAAAGGGACAACCATTTTATCCTCTCTCTCCACATGTATGTATTAAGTATGTACGGCGGTACCTACGTTCGTATGCATGTAGGGAATGTAAAATGTGCAGAGCATTGGCATAAATCTCGTGCGAATAGATAAGCAAACCCAACTGAAACATGCATGCATATGTCTGTAACGTGCCTCTGTGTGCACCCTCCGGCGCACGCAAGGGCTCCCTGTTGCTCACATTACGACAAGCTCTGGAAACCGATCAACCCACTAAAACCTTAACACCCCAAACCCTAAACCTGGTGTAAGCCCCTAAACCCTAAACCCTCAACCCCTAACACCCTAAACCCCTAAAGCCTTAACACCCTAATACCTTAACGCCCCAAACCCTGCACCGAAACCACAGCCCATGACTCCCGTGGCCGCATCCTTTCTGGTTGCTGCTGACTTTAATGCCAGGGTTCGATATACCCATAGGCTCCTTAGTAGTTCATTTGTTACTTACGGCTTTCGGGTCTCCTGTAAAGGCTGCCGTATTTTTATAAGGAACTGCAAGAACTTCAACTTCGCTGGCCACCGAAGCTTCAAAGTCTTTCGATCCCAAGAAGAAGGGCATAACTGCACAACGGGAAGAAATACTGCCGGAAATTTTGTGGCCGAATATTATCATACACTGATTTACATTATTTAAGTCGCTGTTTTTTCTCCAGGTACAGCAGCATGAAACGTAGCGATAGCCATTGCCCTGTCTATCCATAGGCTCATAAGTAGTTCCTTGTTGTGATTTATGTTTATATATTTAGAATCCTAAAAAGTAATCCCAACAAGGAACTACTAAGGAGCCTATGGGTACAGCAAATCGTGATGGGCCTGCTTCGGGGTCTCCGACGCGAAGGCGCGCAGCTGATCTGCAGCGCCCGGCATGTCGAAACACTTCGGCATGCCCCCCACCTCCGCAGGTTCAGGGTTTAGGGTTTAGGGAGTTTAGGGCTTAGGGAGATTAGGGTTTAGGGGGTGTAGGGTTTAGGGAATTCAGGGTTTAGGGGGTTTAGGGTTTAGGGCTGTAGGGGTTGGGGTTTGAGGCATAGTTCCTGAAGATGACAACTCCACGTTGTGTTTGAAGGCTCTTCTCAGTCAGCGAAGCTAGTCAGAACACCTGCTACAAGTAGATGGAGTCGTTTCCGGGGCCTCTGACAACACCGTAGTTCGGCTCTATGGCCCCGGTCTGGGGTTGCGACGCTCACACCCGTGCAATGAAGGCAAGGCTTCAAGGCCGCATTGTCTCAAACAGCTAGGCTACGAGGACATGCAGGGCACGACAGAACTTCACCACCATAACACAGGTAGGGTCCGGGCTTTGTGGTAGTAATATAGGCTTTGGATGGGGCTCTATCGCAGTGTAGGTACAGAGTGAGATAGGGTAGATGGGCGGTCCGCCTCTTACACGACAGCTCAGTAGGGCCGCACCTCGCTCGCCAGGCTGTCGCTGACTTGCCACGTGTCAAGCCTGAGCTTGGTTTAGGGGGTTTAGGGTTTAGGGGTTTAGGGTTTATAGGGCCTATTATAGGGTTTAGGGTTAAGGGCATCTGATGTCAACTATTTAGGGGACCTCGATGAGTAGATTAAGGCTTCGGGAGTAGACTTGACAGTTTGCGGCGACGAGTTTAAATGTGTGGACATTTGAACAGATGATACGAAGATTTTACATCTCCTCCACAAAGGGTCTGAAATCCAGAAAAAACAGACAGCACCGTCCAAGACGTTGAAGTTGGCCGCCATCGAAAGGCCTTGACAGGCCCCAACCACCCAACATTGTGGGGGCTGTCTTCGGATGCCCTGGGAAAGCCAGAAGAACCTGAAAACAGGCATCCGTTTTCTAGGCTTTTGCCGGCTTTCCCAAGGCATCCAAGGCCGTCGGCGGGCCCACAACCCCAAAATCGTCCTAGGACTGCTCAGAACGACATAGGACAGTGTCCTACAATCAAGATTCTCCTGGCTTTTTCTGAAGCATGGGCTGCAAACAGATGCAAACACTGACAGTCGTCTGCAGACATTAGGTAGGAACAATGTCATGTCCTGAACCTTTTGACAGGTTTGGGGCCAGTCAATAGTCAAGGCCTTCGGATGGCTTGAAACAACGGTGGAACCAGCAGGAAATTGTCCCAGGACGAGTTTTGAGGTGTTGGGGGCTTGCGTGCGACGCAGGAAAGTTCAGGCACTGCTTGACCTGATAATTACATTTGTATATTATATATATACACACATACATCCATCGGCCCTATACATGCATACATACATACATA